GCGGCGGGAGTTTTCCTCCGCTAGGGGGCGCGCGGGGGCGGGGCTTTGGCGAGGGGGCGTGGTTTGCGAGGCGTTACGTCATCGCTGTGACATCACCTCGTGCTATTGACTGATTGTGTGACGTCATAGCGGTCCTACCCCCCCACACACTTTTCTGAGGGGTGGGTGATGAGGGAGGGGCAGGGGGGGAGCCCCCGGTGTGACGTCATCGCCCTGCCCACGTCTGTGACGTCATCGCTGGCCGCGGCTGTGACGTCATCGCCCTGAGCACAGTCACAATGTCATTGCTGTGAATTTTTGGCTGTGACGTCATCGCCCTGCCCGTGGCTGTGACGTCATCACTGACCGAATCTGTGATGTCATCCCTGCCTGTGGCTGTGACATCACTGCTGTGACGCAGCCATGACGTCATCACCGCCCTTCCCGTGGCTGTGACGTCATCGCTGACCGCGGTTATGACGTCATGCCCCCTCCCCAGGCCCTCCCCCGCCTCTGCAGCACCCGGGGCCCCCCCGAGCCCCCCCCGGCCGCGCCCTCCCCATACCTGGAGCGGCCCTGGGCGTACCTGGAGAGCGAAGGTGGGTGGGGGGAGGGGGATCGGGGTCCCCAGCCCCTCTCGGGGTCCCCCAGCCCCTCTCGGGGTCCCCAGCCCCTCTCGGGGTCCCCAGCCCGTCTCGGGGTCCCCCAGCCCCTTTTGGGGTCCCCCAGTCCCTTTCGGGGTCCCCCAGCCCCTCTCGGGGTCCCCCAGCCCCTCTCGGAGTCCCCCAGCCCCTTTTGGGGTCCCCCAGTCCCTTTCGGGGTCCCCCAGCCCCTCTCGGGGTCCCCCAGTCCATTTCGGGGTCTTCCAGTCCCTCTCGGTGTCCCCTTGCCACTTTCGGGGTCCCCCAGCCCCTCTCGGGGTCCCCAGCCCTATTTTGGGGTCCCCCAGCCCCTCTCGGGGTGTCCAGCCCCATTTCGGGGTCCCCCAGCCCCATTTCGGGGTCCCCGGGCCCCATTTTGGGGTCCCCAGCCCCTCTCAGTGTCCCCCAGCCCCATTTTGGGGTCCCCGGGCCCCATTTTGGGGTCCCCAGCCCCGGAACTCACCCCGGGCTCCCCAGAGTACCGCGCGGCCTACGGGGCCAGCCCGGTGTGGCACGGCTACCGGCGCAACCACAAGGGCTCCGTGCCGCCCCAGCGCGCCCGCAAGGCCTGCCTGGTGAGGCGACGGGCACTGGGGGCACTGGGAGGGACTGGGAGGGCATTGGGGGGACTGGGGGGGACTGGGAAGGGACTGGGAGGGGATTGGGAGGGGATTGGGAGGGGATTGGGGNGGGGGGCGGGCGGGGAAGGGCAGCGCGCGCCACGTGCGGCGGGCGGGGCCAGTGACGTCACGGCGCGGCGGCGCGGCGGGAGTTTTCCTCCGCTAGGGGGCGCGCGGGGGCGGGGCTTTGGCGAGGGGGCGGGGCTTTGCGAGGCGTTACGTCATCGCTGTGACGTCACATCGTGGAGTTGCCCACCTGAGTGACGTCATAGCGGTCCTTCCCCCCCACACTTTTCTGAGGGGTGGGTGATGAGGGAGGGGGGGGGGAGCCCCCGGTGTGACGTCATCGCCCTGCCCACGTCTGTGACGTCATCGCTGATCGCGGCTGTGACGTCATCGCCCTGATCGCAGTCACAATGTCATTGCTGTGAATTTTTGGCTGTGACGTCATCGCTCTGATCGCAGTTACAATATCATTGCTGTGAATTTTCGGCCGTGACGTCATAGCCCTGCCCGTGGCTGTGACGTCATCACCTTGCCAGCAGATGTGACGTCATCGCTGACCACATCTGTGATGTCGTCACGGACTGTGGCTGTGACGTCACTGTTGTGACTGCGGCTGTGACGTCACCAATGCCCGTGGCTGTGACGTCACCGCTGTGACCGCAGCTATGACGTCATCACCGCCCTTCCCATGGCTGTGACGTCATCGCTGACCGCGGTTATGACGTCATCCCCCCTCCCCAGGCCCTCCCCCGCCTCTGCAGCACCCGGGGCCCCCCCGAGCCCCCCCCGGCCGCGCCCTCCTCGTACCTGGAGCGGCCCTGGGCGTACCTGGAGAGCGAAGGTGGGTGGGGGGAGGGGGATCGGGGTCCCCAGACCCTCTCGGGGTCCCCAGCCCCTCTCGGGGTCCCCCAGTCTCTTTTGGGGTCTCCCAGCCCCTCTCGGGGTCCCCGGGCCCCATTTCGGGGTCCCCGGGCCCCATTTCGGGGTCCCCCAGCCCCTCTCGGGGTCCCCCAGCCCCTTTCGGGGTCCCCCAGTCCCTTTCGGGGTCCCCCAGTTCATTTTGGGGTCCCCAGCCCCTCTCGGGGTCCCCTTGCCACTTTCGGGGTCCCCCAGCCCCTCTCGGGGTCCCCGGGCCCCATTTCGGGGTCCCCTTGCCTATTTTGGGGTCCCCCAGCCCCTCTCGGGGTCCCCGGGCCCCATTTCGGGGTCCCCCAGCCCCTTTCAGGGTCCCCCAGCCCCTCTCGGGGTCCCCCAGCCCCTCTCGGGGTCCCCCAGCCCCTTTCAGGGTCCCCCAGCCCCATTTCGGGGTCCCCCAGCCCCATTTTGGGGTCCCCAGCCCCGGAACTCACCCCGGGCTCCCCAGAGTACCGCGCGGCCTACGGGGCCAGCCCGGTGTGGCATGGCTACCGGCGCAACCACAAGGGCTCCGTGCCGCCCCAGCGCGCCCGCAAGGCCTGCCTGGTGAGGCGACGGGCACTGGGGGCACTGGGAGGGACTGGGAGGGCATTGGGGGGACTGGGGGGGACTGGGAAGGGACTGGGAGGGGATTGGGAGGAACTGGGGGGGACTGGGACTGACTGGGGCGTTACTGGGACTGACTGGGGGGTTACTGGGACTGACTGGGGGGTTACTGGGAAGCACTGGGCGTTACTGGGACTCACTGGGGGTTACTGGGACTCACTGGGCGTTACTGGGACTGACCGGGGGGTTACTGGGACTGACTGGGGGGTTACTGGGAAGCACTGGGCGTTACTGGGACTCACTGGGCCTTACTGGGACTAACTGGGCCTTACTGGGACTGACTGGTTCTCCCTGGCTGTGCCCCCCAGCGCCGGGGCCGGCCCGTGGGGAACCCCTGCCCGCTGTGCCGGGACCGGAACCTGCTCGTGGACTTCCGGGTGAATTTGCTCTCTTTTTTTTACCCAATTCACCTCTTTTTTACCATTTCACTCCTTTTTTCACCCAGTTTCGCCTCCTTCTCTCCCTTTTCCCTCCCTCCAGAACGTGAAGCTGCTGGACCAGTTCATCTGCCCCCATTCCGGGGTCATCTTCGACCCCATCCACACAGGTGAGGGCACACCTGAGGGTCACCTTCGTGTCTCTGGGGTGACCTTTGTGTCCTTGGGGTCACCTTCCTGTCCCTGGGGTCACCTTCATGTCCCTGTGGTCACCTTCGTGTCCCTGGGGCACCCTCATGACCTTGGGGTCACCTTCCTGTCCTTGGGGTCACCTTCACGTCCCTGGGGTCACCTTCACCAAGGACACAGAGGTGACCCCAAGGACAGGAAGGTGACCCCCGGGAGATGAAGGTGACCTCAGGGACACGAAGGTGACCCCAAGGTCACGAAGGTGACCCCAAGGTCATGGAGGTGACCCCAAGGACACGAAGGTGACCCCAAGGACACAGAGGTGACCCCAAGGTCACGGAGGTGACCCCAAGGACACAGAGGTGACCCCAAGGACACGAAGGTGACCCCAAGGTCACGAACGTGACCCCAAGGTCATGGAGGTGACCCTGGGGACACGAAGGTGACCCCAAGGACACAGAGGTGACCCCAAGGACACAAAGGTGACCCTGGGGACACGAAGGTGACCCCAAGGACACAGAGGTGACCCCAAGGCCACAGAGGTGACCCCGGGAGCTGAAGGTGACCCCGGGCACACCTTCCCGTCCCCGGTGTCACCCCCGTGCGCTCGGTGTCCCCCGCGCTGTCCCTGACCGCCTTTCCCCGCAGGGATCTGCCTGAAGCAGCACCGGCGCCTCTCCCAGGCCATCGCCCAGGCCCAGGCCCAGGGTAAACCCCCCCCGCCATTTTGAACCCTTCCCGCCCCTCCGCGCGCCCCCCGACCCCAGCCCCCGCCCAGGTCTCCTGTGGCTGCAGGTGCCCTTCGTGCCCGTGCCCGACGAGGATTTCTCCAACCGGCACGCGGCCGTGGGCAGGACGCCGCCGGCGCCCGCGCTGACGGAGCCGCGCCGCGCCTGGTACCCCTGGTACGAGCGGTGGCGGCCGCCCGCCGCCGAGCTGGCCCGCGTGCGCCGCCTGTACCGCGGCTTCCTGCGGGAGGAGCACCCCGACACCGCCCCGGGCCCCTCGGCGAAATAAAACCCGTGAAAATCCCCCGGACATCGGCGCTTTTCCTGCGGGGAAACTGAGGCACCGGCCGGGATGGCGGCCGGGCTGTCAAACAGCCAGCAGCGATTGGCTGGCGGTTGCTAGGGGGATGTCAAACAGCCAGCAGCGATTGGCTGGCGGTTGCTAGGGGGATGTCAAACAGCCAGCTGTGATTGGCTGGCGGTTGCTAAGGGCGGGACTCGGTTGCTAGAGCCGTGTCAAACAGCCAGCAGCCATTGGCTGGCGGTTGCTAAGGGCGGGGCTTGGTTGCTAAAGACGGGCGCGGCAGGGACAACGATTGGCCGGCGGTTGCTAAGGGCGGGACTCGGTTGCTGGGGGGGGGAAATGGCAAAAAGCCAGCTGTGATTGGTTGGCGGTTGCTAAGGGCGGGACTCGGTTGCTAGGGGACTGTCAAAAAGCCAGCTGTGATTGGTTGGCGGTTGCTAAGGGCGGGACTCGGTTGCTAGGGCCGTGTCAAACAGCCAGCTGTGATTGGCTGGCGGTTGCTAAGGGCGGGACTCGGTTGCTAGGGGGCTGTCAAAAAGCCCGCTGTGATTGGTTGGCGGTTGCTAAGGGCGGGACTCGGTTGCTAAGGACGGCGGAACGCAGCGCTCCGATTGGCCGGCGTTTGGCGGGCCGGGCCGCGATTGGCTGGTTCCGCTGGCGGGGGCGCGGCTCCGGTGCCGCCCGGGCGCGGCTGTGGCGGCGGCGGGGCCGGGCCCGGGGCTCGGGGCGCTCGGGGCGCTCGGGGCTCGGCCATGGAGTTCCCTTTCGACCTGGCGCCGGTGCTGGGGCCCGAGCGCTTCTGCGTGGTGGATCAGCACCTGCGGCCCGCGGGGCGCGGCGGCGGCGGCGGCGCCGAGCGGTACCGGGGGAAGGGAAGGGGCGGGGCGGGCCCGCGGCTCGGAGCGGTTTGTGAGGGGATTTTGTGAGGGGAAAGCGGCTCGGAGGGGGTTAGTGAGGGATTTTGTGAGGGGATTTGATGAGGGGTTTGTGAGGGGTGTGATGAGAGTTTTGTGAGGGTCTGATGAGGGGTTTTGTTGGATTTGATGAGGGGTTTGTGAGGGCTTTGTGAGCGGATTTGATGAGGGGTTTGTGAGGGGTCTGATGAGGGGTTTTGTGAGGGTTTTATGAGGGTTTTTGATGGGTTTGATGAGGGGTTTGTGAGGGATTTTGTGAGGGATTTGATGAGGGGTTTGTGAGGGTTTTTGAGGAGTTTGATGAGGGTTTTTGAGGGATTTGATGAGGGGTTTGTGAGGGATTTGATGAGGGGTTTTTGATGGATTTTGTGAGGAATTTGATGAGGGGTTTTATGAGGGTTTTTGATGGATTTTGTGAGGGATTTGATGAGGGGTTTGTGAGGGTTTTTGAGGGGTTTGATGAGGGTTTTTGAGGGGTTTTTGATGGATTTGATGAGGAGTTTTTGA